CACAGTTCAGTTCAATGCAGAGATGCAGTGGGAAAAGATGCATCTACAGCATCTATCTTCAGAGGGTGGAATGCAGACTGGTCAGTCTAGTCCCAATGGGGACTCTTCAGGAACCTCTCCCTGCCACTCTTCACTTTCCCTGACAGGCGGCTGATCTTTGCCTACCCTAGCCACTTGGCAAATGTGCACCAAAACCCGGGGGGCAGGGACTTATAAAGATTCTGCTGACCCAAGATGGCCACCAGAGGTTACCTGGATGCAGTGTAGCCAACCGGAACACTGCTTTCAGGGACCAAGGAACCATGGAGAAACCATATTTCTCTTGACTTCCTCTCCAGGCAATGGTACTGCTTGCATCAAGAGCCGCCTACAAATGGAGAAAGCAGACTACACCTGCCTACATGCAGTGGTGTATTTAGGTTTTGTGCTGCCCTAGGCAACAGAAAATTTGCCCCCCCCCCCCCCCCCCCCCCTGGAAAGAGAATTGGGCTGTGCATACACCATCATGAAACCCACAGCATCTCTCGGGAACCCACCAGGTCCCCATGCCTCGTGTTTCCCTTGTTCCAAGGGGCAGTGCTGCCCCCCTAAAAAAATGCCGCCCTAGGCAAATGCCTTGTTTGCCTTGTGGAAAATACACACCTGCCTACATACAGTGGTGTATTTAGGTTTTGTGCTGCCCTTGGCAACAGAAAATTTGGCACCCCCCCCCCTTGCAGAAAGAGCCTGACATTGACCAAGAGCACCCCTGCCCTCCACCCGAGCCTTCCACTACCACTGCCCCTCATACACCAGCCGCCATCCCCCATGGCGAGAGAGAAAGACACTCACCTTCACAGCTCTGGACATCCCCAGGAAAGAGAATCGGGCTGTGTATACACCGTCATGAAACCCACAGCATCTCTCGGAACCCACCAGGTCCCCATGCCTCGTGTTTCCCTTGTTCCAAGGGGCAGTGCTGCCCCCCTAAAAAATGCCGTCCTAGGCAAATGCCTTGTTTGCCTTGTGGTAAATACACCCTGCCTACACACAGAGGTAGTAAAGAAGGGTATTATGTTGGTCAATGTGACGAGTGTTGCCCTTCAGCTCCTTGTGTAGTTTGAAGGTCTCAGAGTTGCAAGTTGTAATATTTCATAGTCACTTTCCTATTTTGATCAAGAGATTTAATTTATTTGCATCGCTGAGCCGGGATTTGCCTCCCAAAACAGCAATGTTAGAGGACTCTGCTTGAGATGAAACATTATGATATGTTTCCAGTTATATCTGCTCATTTTCATTAGTAATCGTGCCTGATGCTTCCTCCAAACACTTCATTCTGTGCCCCCATGGGAGTCTTTTTTTCCTTTTTTCTGCTTCTCATCTCACTCTGACTTTAATATATATCACCGGGCTCCTCAGACAGTCATCAGAATTAAAGGCTTTATCAAGCATGACACCTCCTCGGAGTTACACTTTTTCTCGCACATGATGCTTCCTCATGCACTGGCTTCTTGGCCAGACGTGAGATTAAGCCTTACGGACGCTTGGAAGGATTTAGGAAAGAGAAAGGGCTGCAGAAGACCATCAGTAATACTTACCCATAGCACAAGGTATGCCGAGACGTGATTACCTTCTCTAGAGGGAAAAAAGCAGTAAAAATTGCACTGTATGTGGCTGCGATCAATATTCCTGTTCTGTAGATAATAGGAGGTGCATGAAAGATAAACCAAATAAAGAGGTTAATAAGCAAGGATTTACTTTTGTGAAGAATCAACTGTGAATGTTTTTTCATTTTTTCTTCTCTCTCTATCATGTGTAGGATGATGGGGAGTTCGATGATGTAGATGATGACACACACTGCTGGGAAGCCGCAATCACTCTGCAATGGGTTTAGTAACAGGCAGGGGCGGACTGACCATGTTCAGAAATTACCCCCCCCCCCCAAATTACCCCCGTCACACACTAATATTATTATACATTTCTATAGCTCTGACATATACCGCAGTGCTGTACAGACAACACATGAGCCAGTCCCATCAGTCTCTACACCAGAGGAGCTTACACTCTAATGTCCCCTCCCCCCACAGTCACACACTATTATTATACATTTCTATAGCTCTGACATATACCGCAGTGCTGTACAGAGAACACTGAGCCAGTCACATCAGTCTCTGCACCAGAGGAGCTGACACTCTAATGTCCCCTCCCCCACAGTCACACACTGTTATTATACATGTATATAGCTCTGACATATACTGCAGTGCTGTACAGAGAACAGCCGGTCATATCAGTCTCTGCACCAGAGGAGCTCACACTCTAATCTCCTTCCACAGTCATATGCTATTATTATTCATTTGTATAGCTCCGACATATACCGTAGTGTGTACAAAGTACACTGTGCTAATCACATCAGTCTTTGCATCAGAGGAGCTGACACTCTAATGTCCCCTCCCCCTGCAGTTACCCACAGGGGCGGACTGACCATTTGGAAAACTCGGGCATTGCCCGAGGGCCCTGGGTCAGTAGGGGGCCCCATGAGATGTCCCTGGTACCTTTCATAGGCTTTTTTTTGGGTACGGTTTGAGTGTGGGCGAGGACGCAGGGGCCCCATGATCCCCTATTGCTCGGGGGCCCATGAGTTGTCAGTCTGCCCCTGGTAGCAGGGGTGGACTGACAACTCATGGTGCCCCCGGGCAATAGGGGATCATGGGGCCCCTGTGTCCTTGCCCAAACTCAAAAAAAGCCTATGAAAAAGGTACCAGGGGCATCTCATGGGGCCCCCTACTGACCCCGGGCCCTCGGGCAGTGCCCGAGTTTCCAAATGGTCAGTCCGCCACTGGTCATGTGTAGGATGATGGGAGTTCAGTGACGTACAGACGCACACTGCTGGGAAGCCACAATGCCCCTGCAATTGGTTAGTAGTTAGATACAAAAAGAAAACATAGTTATCATGAGCCTTATTAGACAATTTATTGTTAAAAAGTAATGTTACATAGTTAGTGTGGCTGAAAAAAGACAAAAGTCCATCCAGTTCAATCATAGGAAAAAAAAAAGTTATAATCCTACACCCACAGTTGATCCAGAGGAAGGTTAGCCATAGTCCTTTCCTCTCCCCTCATGTCCTATACACTATAGTTACATAGTTACATAGTTAGTCTGACTGAAAAAAGACAAACGTCCATCCAGTTCAACCATAGAAAAAAAAAAGTTATAATCAGGGGCAGACTGACAACTCATGGGGCCCCCGGGCAATAGGGGATCATGGGGGGCCCCTGTGTCCTTGCCCAAACTAAAAAAAAGCCTATGAAAAAGGTACCAGGGGCAACTCATGGGGCCCCCTACTGACCCCGGGCCCTCGGGCAGTGCCTGAGTTTCCAAATGGTCAGTCTGCCCCTGGTCATGTGTAGGATGATGGGAGTTCAGTGACTTACAGACACACACTGCTGGGAAGCCACAATGCCCCTGCAATTGGTTAGCAGTTAGATACAATAGAAAACATACTTATCATGAGCCTTATTAGACAATTTATTGTTAAAAAGTAATGTTACATAGTTAGTGTGGCTGAAAAAAGACAAAAGTCCATCCAGTTCAATCATAGGAAAAAAAAAAGTTATAATCCTACACCCACAGTTGATCCAGAGGAAGGTTGTCCATAGTCCTTTCCTCTCCCCTCACGTCCTATACACTATAGTTACATAGTTAGTGTGGCTGAAAAAAGACAAAAGTCCATCCAGTTCAACCATTAAAAAAAAAAAGGTATATATATATATATATATATATATATATATATATATATTGTGGGAACTCGCTTCAACGTTGGTAGAGCTTTTAAACGCACACAGCTACTCGCTTCTTTTTAAGGGCCTTTTTAGCCCACTTTTATTTAAATGAAAGTTCAAACATAATGCTTTCCACGCAGGGGGTATCCACTATCACACAAAACACCGATTCAGCCTCCTGGCTTACACACAGTTCAATGTCTGTCTCCTGCAGACTCTTCCCAAATTATAGCCACTAGCACACAGCTAGTCTGGCTTTCCACCTGACTCCAAGGCAGAGACCTCCTGTCTGCCGGGGTGGAGCCCTCCTGACTCCATTTACCGGGGTGGGAGCCCTCCTGACTCCGTCTGCCGGGGTGGAGCCCAGAACTATGGTCAGGACTCTATAAAAAGGCCTGTACACACCTGTGCACTCAGTATGCTGGGGGTTCTCAAAACACGGACCCTGGATTGGAGATTTCATCCCTCCCAGATCTCTTTGAAATCTCCAGGCTCCAGATCCCAAAACAAACTTAATGAATAAATGAGGAAACCGAAAAGTCAGATTCCTCTGCAATACATTAACTCTCTGGAGCCCCTCAACCTGCCTGGTTGAGAATCCAGGGTTTTCAACTTGAGTTTGACCGTGGCAGGACACCGCACTGCCACATATCCCCCCCCTTTGTTTTGACCCCATGGGGGGGCGGAACACACAAATCTAAAACTTCTTGCTTTAGACCTTCCGTGCGTGCTATCACCTGTAAAGGTCCAATCCTGGCTGACTTCATTTTCAACAAACGGAGACATTAATCCCTGCCCCAAGAGGTGACTTCCCCTGTCTCCCCTTACTTGGGCTCTACTACTTCCCCATGCCTTTTTACGAGTGCGCTTCCAAAAGCGCGGTCTTTCTAATTTCCTTAAGACTATGCTAGTCCTTTTACCACTAGGGGGTTTACAAATCTCAGTACCCTTTGTAACCTGGGGTTGACGCCTAAGCTTTAAGTGCCTGGTAATATTATAACGTGCTCCCTCAAATTCCTCTAGACCATCCCTTTTTGCTTTATTTAATTTTGATGGGGTTATATTTTTAGACCCTTTAGTAATAGAGGTGGGCTCTTTTATTTGGGAATCAAACACTTTTAACGTCCCCTTGTTAAGCTTTGGGCCAGTTCCCTTAGACCTTTCATTCTTAAAACTTGGGAGTTTCCTGGACCTTTGGAAATCTTTCCCAAAATTACCTTCCTGATCCTGTAGGGGGCCTATTGCTAGACTCTTAACCTCTCTTGTGTCTGTTAAGCACTCATTACCTCTTTCAGGAGGACCAGCTACCATGTCAACCTGACCACCTGGTCTACTATTCTTTTTGTTATCACACACAGTAATCAGACAATCCAAATTCATCAACACATTTCCCTTTTTATCATTAGCCAGAAGACTCTGGTCAGAACTCAGTTCACTAGTAGTTGGCGGGGGCAATTTCTGGAGAGGAATTACACACAGCGGAGTGGGTATCTCCCATGGAAACGTTACTATCCACTGACTTCACTGTCACAAAAGACTCTGCCAGCAACTGTCCTGATGCCAAACCATCCTTACATAATTCTACATTTGGGTAGACGACCCCAACCACATCACATATACATGTGTCTTCCGGCACTTCTGCCAAAACCTCGGTCCTGTCCAGCAGTACTCTGGTGTGCCTCTCATACAGATTACTGCTATGAAGCAACCCAGCAATGCACTGAAAGACAATTTTCACCATTACCAACAAGGATGGTATCACAGAATTCCTATATTGACCATCTTTGTTTTGTATAGCCTGTAATACCAAGCTCCGATTAGCGGGACTCCACTGTACCAGCTCTCCCGAACATGGAAGAGACAGCAAGGTATACACCGGCTGTACACTCCAGAAGGCTAACATCTCCTTCAGCAGGTCTGTTATAAAAATACAGCCCGATTCCACCCATAAGACCTTCCTGGAGACATGGAGCCACTCATTTACTGATGCCTCAGAGGTGGTGCTTCTTAACGAGGCTTCCTCTCGGCTGGAGGTACCCAATACAAATAACCTGGGGCTCTCCCAGAGCGTAACCAGGTGTGGGATTCACCCAAATACTCTGAGGCTCAGTGTCAATGAGCTCTTCCACGGCTTCTCTATGGATATCTGTTTGGTATACCACACCATTAACTCCTTTATGGGCTGTGGGCAAAACGTCTGCTGAGCGTTTATCCTCAATGGTGCCTTTTACCAGCGCTGGGTTAATTTTGGCAGCGACAGTTGCACCCTGGACTAATAGTTGCTCCACAGTCCCTCTATTCAGCACAGCAGAAACCATGTCCACCCCATTGTTACCCACAGAGGCATCTTTTATTAATGCCAACAAGCTTGTTGCCCATCTGTCCCAGTCCATCGTCCCTGTGATCCCATCAGAGGTACTACGCAGTACCACTCCAACCGCTGAAGGACACACAGAGGGACAGAGTGGCTCTGTATCACACCCATTACCTATATCTTCATTATCCATATCACAATGGGAGACTCCTTTTCTAGGCACAGCAGGTTGCAATTTCCTACTCTCACCACCATGACCTAGTGGCGTGTCATTCACTACAAAAACTTTAGCATTAGTGGATTGCATTGACCCATCATCATGAATACGTTCATACCTTTTAGATTCACCATTGCCAGACTGAAATAACAAATTCTCACTCAATTCAGATACACTCTGGTCCACCAGAGCAACAGCATAGTTATCCTGGGTTACCTTAACCACCGTTGCTAGGGAAGATAACACATCCTGCTTAGTGGTCACCCCTACTACATTTAATTTAGCATTCTGTTTATAGGACATTGGTGCAACCCCAATATCAGTACTCTTCACATTTTTAACTGTTGCCTCCCCACTAAAAGCATTATACAGAGGCAAGTCTCTCTCACAATCACCAGCAGTGGGTTTCCCAACTGGGAGTACCCCAAATTTATAGCAGAGAGTCTCAAAGTCAGTCTCAATCATTGCATTAGTATCTCTCACATTTATGTCAAAAGTACCAGTCTTACCCACCACTGCAACAGGCTTCACCTTCTTCACTTGAGTGCGTGGGATCTGGTTCCTTTCTGTCATCTCCTCTCTTTGGCTTTGGCCAGCCAGTTCATCCATGCAGCTATAGGATGATACTGTGGCAGGCACTTCTGACTCCTTGGCACCCCCTGCAGGCACAACAGGTACTTCTTCACTGTTGCTAGGGGTGGCTGCCAACATTTTTAAACATGAATCTGGGCTTGCAGATGAAGACTTTTGCCCAGTAGCACCCTCATCAGTGATATTCCATAATCTGGGGCAGGTAAAGATACCATGCCCAAACTGACCACATTCCAGGCAGGGTATGGTTCCACCGATAACCTTCTTGGGATATGGAACCACATCTCCCTTGTAGCCCCTTCTCCTGGTTGGCAGGCTTTCTCCTGTTGCTATGGGAGATGGCACTCCCCCAGCTGAACTTTGTGGGTTCCTCCAGATGCGCTGAACTCTCATCTCTGCGTTGCCACAATCCTCTGCAGACGACACTTCTCTCACCGGGTCCGCAGGCCTGAAGTCACATGGGTTGCTATGGGCAACCACATATTTCTGAAACTTTTGGGCAGCCTGCTGCTCCTTCCTGGAACTCCAAACAGGCTTCCCAATTGCATACCCAGACCTTTGTCGGGTTGTGTCACCTTGCACTGGAAGCTGGGATAAAGGGCACTTGGAGACAGTGTGCCCCCATTCACTGCACCGCAAACAGCGCTCTTGCGGCAGTATCTTGCCCGCATCCTCCACCATATGTGGGAACTCGCTTCAACGTGGTAGAGCTTTTAAATGCACACAGCTACTCGCTTCTTCTTTTTAAGGGCCTTTTTAGCCCACTTTTATTTAAATGAAAGTTCAAACATAATGCTTTCCACACGCAGGGGTATCCACTATCACACAAAACACCGATTCAGCCTCCTGGCTTACACACAGTTCAATGTCTGTCTCCTGCAGACTCTTCCCAAATTATAGCCACTAGCACACAGCTAGTCTGACTTCCACCTGACTCCAAGGCAGAGACCTCCTGTCTGCCGGGGTGGAGCCCTCCTGACTCCATTTACCGGGGTGGAGCCCTCCTGACTCCGTCTGCCGGGGTGGAGCCCAGAACTATGGTCAGGACTCTATAAAAAGGCCTGTACACACCTGTGCACTCAGTATGCTGGGGGTTCTCAAAACACGGACCCTGGATTGGAGATTTCATCCCTCCCAGATCTCTTTGAAATCTCCAGGCTCCAGATCCCAAAACAAACTTAATGAATAAATGAGGAAACCGAAAAGTCAGATTCCTCTGCAATACATTAACTCTCTGGAGCCCCTCAACCTGCCTGGTTGAGAATCCAGGGTTTTCAACTTGAGTTTGACCGTGGCAGGACACCGCACTGCCACAATATATTTATATTCCTATACCCACAGTTGATACTGTTGAGGAAGGCAAAAAAACTCAGCAAAGCATAATCCAATTTGCTCCTGCAGGGAACCTTCCACATCAGGAAATTACTCCTTACCCACACCTTACATAGTTACATAGATAGTCTGGCTGAAAAAAGACAAAAGTCCATCCAGTTCAACCATATAAAAAAAAAGTTATGATCCTACACCCACAGTTGATCCAGAGGAAGGCAAAATAACAGCAAAGAACAATCCAATTTGCTCCTGCAGGGGAAAAAATTCCTTCCTGATCCCCCGAGAGGCAATCGGATATTCAACTTTACCTATAAATGTTATATCCAGTTATATTCAGGCAATGCCCGAGGGCCTGGGGTCAGTAGGGGGCCCCATGAAATGCCCATGGTACCTTTTTCATAGGCTTTTTTGAGTTTGGGCAAGGACACAGGGGCCCCATGATCCCCTATTGCCTGGGGGCCCCATGAGTTGTCAGTCCGCCCCTGACCATAATGCAAACCGCTGTGAATAAACCTGGGAGTGAAGCTTTAGAACTGTGCCAGTCCCCGGACCGTCTGGTGATTATCGCTGTCATCTATGCCGTGTAATGCACACCGACACCTATAGCTGCGACGTCGAGGCTTGATAGGCGGATTATTTATGGATGAAATCTCAGCTGCGGCTGCCGATGTTTTATCATCTAATCTGCTGCTATAAGAAAAAGAACTTGAAAATATCACTTTTTTTCAGGATTTGCAGATTGAATGTGACAACTGCTTTCCCGGGAACTGTCAGTCCCGGCCTTTACGATGAACACAATGTTTAAAATGCAAGGCTTTGCCTGAGCAAATGTTCTGTGATCAGTACGGTGTATTAGCATAGACCAGGGGTCTCCAAACTTCCTAAACAAAGGATCAGTTCACTGTCCTTCAAACTTCAGGAGGGCCAGACTGTGACCAGCAGAATATGGTGTTGGGGAGAATAGTTTCCCATTATTGGTGTCAGTGGGAGGAATAGTTTCCCATTATTGGTGTCAGTGGGAGGAATAGTGCCCCATCATTGGTGTCAGTGAGAGGAATAGTGCCCCATCATTGGTGTCAGTGGGAGGAATAGTGCCCCATCATTGGTGTCAGTGGGAGGAATAGTGCCCCATCATTAGTGTCAGTGAGAGGAATAGTGTCCCATCATTGGTATCAGTGGGAGGAATAGTGCCCCATCATTGGTATCAGTGGGAGGAATAGTGCTCCATCATTGGTGTCAGTGGGAGGAATAGTGCCCCATCATTGGTGTCAGTGGGAGGAATAGTGCCCCATCATTAGTGTCAGTGAGAGGAATAGTGCCCCATCATTGGTGTCAGTGGGAGGAATAGTGCCCCATCATTGAAATCAGTGGGAGGAATAGTGCCCCATCATTGGTATCAGTGGGAGGAATAGTGCCCCATCATTGGTGTCAGTGGGAGGAATAGTGCCCCATCATTGAAATCAGTGGGAGGAATAGTGCCCCATCATTGGTATTAGTGGAAGGAATAGTGCGCCATCATTGGTATCAGTGGGAGGAATAGTGCCCCATCATTGGTGTCAGTGGGAGGAATAGTGCCCCATCATTGGTATTAGTGGAAGGAATAGTGTCCCATCATTGGTGTCAGTGGGAGGAATAGTGCCCCATCATTGGTGTCAGTGGGAGGAATAGTGCTCCATCATTGGTATCAGTGGGAGGAATAGTGCCCCATCATTGGTATCAGTGGGAGGAATAGTGCCCCATCATTGGTATCAGTGGGAGGAATAGTGCCCCATCATTGGTGTCAGTGGGAGGAATAGTGCCCCATCATTGGTATCAGGGGGAGGAATAGTGCCCCATCATTGGTGTCAGTGGGAGGAATAGTGCCCCATCATTGGTGTCAGTGGGAGGAATAGTGCTCCATCATTGGTATCAGTGGGAAGAATAGTGCCCCATCATTGGTGTCAGTGGGAAGAATAGTGCCCCATCATTGGTGTGAGTGAGAGGAATAGTGCCCCATCATTGGTATCAGTGGGAGGAATAGTGCTCCATCATTGGTATCAGTGGGAAGAATAGTGCCCCATCATTGGTGTCAGTTGGAAGAATAGTGCCCCATCATTGGGGTGAGTGAGAGGAATAGTGCCCCATCATTGATGTGAGTGGGAGGAATAGTGCCCCATCATTGGTATCAGTGGGAGGAATAGTGCCCCTTCACTGCTTTTAGTTGGAGGAATAGTGTCCCATCATTGGTTTTAGTTGTTGGAGGAATAGTGCCCAATCTTTGGTATCAGTGGGAGGAATAGTGCCCCATCATTGGTGTCAGTAGAAGGAATAGTGCCCCATCATTGATATCAGTGGGAGGAATAGTGCCCCATCATTGCTATCAGTGGGAGGAATAGTGCCCCATCATTGATATCAGTATTTCCACTTTTACAGCCAAGTTAAGACCTTCTTTATATTTGTTAAATGTTCTCATTCACATAGCAAAACTTAAAAAAAAATAAAAAAAAATTGTTGCTTAGCTTTGTAAATGCTCTTTTCTGGATACCCCAGCACAGAAAACCCTTCATTCTCCTTGATTATGAGGGAGATGAAGAGTTCGTGTTTACCATAATTAACATTTTCTGCCTTCTGCTGGCAGGTCTCATTATCAGTTGTAAACTAGATTCGAACGCTGTTTTTCCTAACAAAGGGTTCAAGATTTAGAGCTGATTCACACATATGTGGTGAAGATAGAAGCTCGGATTTCACAGCTAATTGATACAGATACAGTAGCAGGTTTTTTTTTTGTTGGTAGTATTTAATCACCACTGTTTTTTTTTTCTTTTCTGTTATATACATGAACAAAATAACATATCTTCATAAATTTAGGCCAAAAGTATTCTGCTTCATGTTGTTGGTAGAGAAAAAAATCCTAATAAGTGTATATTAATTGGTTTGTTATATCGTCTGCAAACTATTTATATATATACTGGAATTTATGCCTCTATAGACTATAGGATGTTAATTGAGGTGATCAGCGACCTATAGCATGACTGTGATAATGTGGCGGGCAATCTGGTGGTAACAAACACTGGCTGGGAGGGACACTAACTGACTAACTCATATTGATGTTGCTAGTGACATTAACGCAGCGATCATATATACTACCAGGGGCGGACTGACAACTCATGGGGCCCCCCGGCAATAGGGGATCATAGGGCCCCTGTGTCCTTGCCCAAACTCAAAAAAGCCTATGAAAAAGATACAAGGGGCATCTTATGGGGGCCCCCTACTGACCCTGGGCCAACGGGCAGTGCCCGAGTTTCCAAATGGTCAGTCCGCCCCTGTATACTACTGTACACTGTACTAATGACACTGGCTGGGAAGGGTTAACATCAAGGGGCAATCAAAGAGTTAACAGTGTGCCCAACAAGTGTAATGTGTGCTGCTTTTACTAACAAATCTGAATGTTTTTTTTGTCCTGCTTTGCAGGGAGGAGAAACACCCAGATCGTGTACAGAGCCCTGTGTGTTTGTAAACACAGAACTTTGTGCTGTGATTGGCTACAGCTGATCAGCAGGTCTCGGCTATAAATCATTAACTGGGACCTGCTGATAAAATCCTGCTGTGGCCATTGACAGCGAGTGTCAGCAGGACAGGCTGGATGACATAAATGCATTGTGGGTGGGCGGGAACTGGTTAAATAAAAGGACTGTTTGCTTTTACCAACACGGCTTGCTGATGCTCCAGGTCTACCCCACAACATTATATATATATAAATGGACTGGACAACATTTTTGGGACCCCTTGGAAAAATAACTGAAATCAATGGCTTCCTGGAACCATCAATGAGTTCTTCCACCTCTCTACTGGAATTTTGGATCGCTCTTCTTTCACCAACTGCTCCACGTCTCTCAGATTGGAAGGTTCCTTTTCCCAACTGCTGTTTGGAGATCTCTTCACAGTAGCTCTATGGGATGGAGATCTGGACTCATTGCTGGCCAGTTCAGTCCTCTCCAGAGCTTTGTCTGAAACCATTTCTGGGGGCTTTTTGACATGTGCTTTGGGTCATTGTCCTGCTGGAAGACCCATGACTTCTGATGGAGACCCAACTTTCTGACACCGGGCCCTACATTGCACCCCAGAATTCTTTGGTAGTCTTCAGATTTCATAATGCCATGTACACGGCCAAGACTTCCAGTGCCTGAAGCAGCAAAGCAACCCCAAACCATCAGTGACCCCCCACCATGTGTGACTGGATTCTTTTCTTTAGAGGCCATCCCAGTTCCCTAGGATTCCCCCCTTTTCTTTAAGAGGCCTATTGCTTTTTCTGAATACTGTAGAATGATGGGCTTTACCAAAAATCTGGAATTTGGTTTTGTTTGTCCACAGCACATTCTCCCAAAAGGATTTTAGCTTCCTAAGGTACGTTTTGGCAAACTCCAATCTGGCTTTTGTATGTTTCTGTGTCAGCAGTGAGGTTCTCCTGGGTCTCCTACCATATTTCTGTGTCACAGTGGGGTCCTCCTGGGTCTCCTACCATATTTCTGTGTCAGCAGTGGGGTCCTCCTGGGTCTCCTACCATATTTCTGTGTCAGCAGTGGGGTCCTCCTGGGTCTCCTACCATATTTCTGTGTCAGCAGTGGGGTCCTCCTGGGTCTCCTACCATATTTCTGTGTCAGCGGCGGGGTCCTCCTGGGTCTCCTACCATATTCCTGTGTCAGCAGTGAGGTCCTCCTGGGTCTCCTACCATATTTCTGTGTCAGCAGTGGGGTCCTCCTGGGTCTCCTACCATATTTCTGTGTCAGCAGTGGGGTCCTCCTGGGTCTCCTACCATATTTCTGTGTCAGCGGTGGGGTCCTCCTGGGTCTCCTACCATATTTCTGTGTCAGCAGTGGGGTCCTCCTGGGTCTCCTACCATATTCTGTGTCAGCAGTGAGGTCCTCCTGGGTCTCCTACCATATTTCTGTGTCAGCAGTGGGGTCCTCCTCCTGGGTCTCCTACCATATTTCTGTGTCAGCAGTGGGGTCCTCCTGGGTCTCCTACCATATTTCTGTGTCAGCAGTGGGGTCCTCCTGGGTCTCCTACCATATTTCTGTGTCAGCGGCAGGGTCCTCCTGGGTCTCCTACCATATTTCTGTGTCAGCGGTGGGGTCCTCCTGGGTCTCCTACCATATTTCTGTGTCAGTGGTGGGGTCCTCCTGGGTCTCCTACCATATTTCTGTGTCAGCGGTGGGGTCCTCCTGGGTCTCCTACCATATTTCTGTGTCAGCGGTGGGGTTCTCCTGGGTCTCCTACCATATTTCTGTGTCAGCAGTGTCCTCCTGGGTCTCCTACCATATTTCTGTGTCAGCAGTGGGGTCCTCCTGAGTCTCCTACCATATTTCTGTGTTTGCAGTGGGGTCCTCCTGGGTCCCCTACCATAGCGTCCCTTTTCATTCAGATGGCAACGTATAGTGAGAGCTGACACAGTTGTAACCTGTGCCTGAAGGTCAACTTGGATTGGTCTGGAAGTTGATGGAGGTTCTTTATACACCATTCCAACAATCCTTCGTTGCAATCTTTGATCAAGTTTTCCTCTTTCGT